ATAAAAATATGTTGTTCTATTAAATGCTACAATATCGCACTGCTATTGTGTTATTGTGCAATATCATCCTACACCTGTTAAAGTATATCCTATTACATCCTTTTATCATATATATATATATATAGTAAATATTATTACAATAGTATTCCTAAGTATTCAGGTATTTTTTCCCCTTCTCTTTTCCTTTTTTCTTTTTTATGTAGATCCATTTCACAGCTGATTAGTTCCGTTTCAATGAGCAATATAAAGCCAGACTTCTAAAAGATCGTAAACATTATCCAATACAACTCAAATAAGGTACACATCTCCAAACAATAAACTAAATAATTCCGCAGATGTTAGGTTTCTCAAATATATGCCAAATCGAGCATAATTAATAGGGGAAACAATATACAGCATAACGAAACAGACCAATCTAGGGGGAGTTCTTTTTTTTCGAGCACCCTCTCAGCCTTCCAATACTATTATTAGTTTCCCATTTCGCCGCGCATCCCCTTGTGGCGCTGCACGGGTCGTCTGGCAGAGGGAAGGTTACCGGGGAAGAAATACACTATACACCACGACAGCCAGCGCTTATGGTGAAATATAGATCGACTCTTTGTACATTATATACCCTCATGACGGTAGTTTTAATCAAGTACAATATGTATTTTTGCATTTCGGACTGTGTCCATTATGTATCCTGGGGTACGATATTTTGTTGTGTTGCAGGGAGTATTGTAGCATTTGTCTGAGGTGGAGGAGACATGGAGAAGAAAAGTATGGAAGTAATGTCACTAGTTCTGAGACTATTAGAAGTAATGTAAATGCCTTGATGTGGTGTTTCGTTATAATAATTGAACTTTTAATCAGTAGCAAATTCGATAGAAAATAATGAAGTGATTGGTGTCTCAATATTAGACGGGATAGTTTATTTATCTTATTTTTATCATTTATTTATCTATTTATTTATTACAAGAGTGACGTGATTTTGTTTCGTCTGTTGCGAGAGGCAAATAGAGAGAGAAAGAGGAAGGAAGGGGTGAGAGGCAAATAGAGAGAGAGAGAGGAGGGGGTGAGAGGCAAATAGAGAGAGAGAGAGGAGGGGTGAGAGGCAGATAGAGAGAAAGGGAGAGGAGGGGGTGAGAGGCAGAGAGGTGAAGGTGAGAAAGGAGAGAGGAAGTTAGAAAGGGGGAGAAGAAGAGACAGGGAGAGAGAGAGAGCACAGAGAGGGAGAGAGAGAGATAAAATTTCTCCAAGTCGTTTTATGCTCTACTGAATAACGAACACTCAACTTAACCACCATGAAAGTATAAACTTTAAAATGTTATGAAACCGTAAAAATCAAAACAACGGAAAGGGTGATTAAAGGGAATTACATGTAACATGAAAATTCTCATTATTTTGTGCCATATTCCGAAAATAACCGTTCTTGCTCTCTCTCAGTCAATAGCCATTCAATAACCGATATTCATTTGCGTTAAGGGAAAACAACTTGATCTGTCATCTAAGTCATTCATTAACTGATGACTATATGCGAAGAAAAATAAACTCAAGTAAAAAGAAGAAAAAAATATTATAATAATAAAACAGTGACCAGCACACCTCTTGCCACTGTCCGCCGCCACCGACTGCCAAGTCTTTAACACGCATGCGCGGGGAAGCTGATCCCGCCAAAAAAAAAAAGAGCCACCGGTCTAGGGAGTTCCGCAATTTCAGTATGAAATCATTTATTTTGCACGTAATTGTAACTATCATGGATGTGTAGTTTCAAGAGAGTGGGTATTGCTGTTGACGATTGTTTTTTTTTTTTTTTTTTTTTTTTAATGTGGATATCGATTTAGTGGGTTTCGCGGTGAGAATAATCTGTCACTCCATGCTCTCACCGCTACGAGTAGTCAGTAACTTTCTTTTCTTTTCTTTTTATTTCCTTTATTTTACAACTGTTCTTGATAGTCAAACGAATCCTGATATTCTAAAAGTGTATGGAAAGATATGAATGAAACTGGATTATTCCACATGAATGATTTAACGAACATTTAAACGTTTCCTCTGTGAAGTCATGCTTTCTCATTCATACATTTTCCAACCTTTGTTACAATGGACTTGGTGATTGAAATTATTTAATGAGAACCAAATGGTATATCGATTTATTATATAACTAGAAGTACTCAGTAAGCATTTACTTAAATCAGGGCAATAAAGTCACTGCTGTCATAGAAATATTAACGCTTGAAAGATATGAATGAAACTGGATTATTCCACATGAATTATTTAATGAACATTTAAACGTTTCCTCTGTGAAGTCATGCTTTCTCATTCATACATTTTCCAACCTTTGTTACAATGGACTTGGTGACTGAAATTATTTAATGAGAACCAAATGGTATATCGATTTATTTTACAATTAGATGTACTCAGTAAGCGTTTACTTAGCTCAGGGCAATAGAATCGCTGGTGTCCTAGAAATATTAATGTTAGAAGGATTACATTGAAATCACCTCTTTCTCAAGTACACTGGTGACGTCCGTGTTTCCCTTTCTCGCATTCAAATAAATCATGTAAAAAAAAAATCCGGATCACCACCAAAATTTTAATGGCATATAACAATTTGTTGAGAAAAAAAAAATTTGTTCAAAACTTTTTTGAGTTATCCTGCTAACCAGTTAACCAACAAACTAATCAACGCTACCAGAAACATGACCTTGACGGGGATAACATTATTTTCTTCGTGGAAGAGATGCATTTTTTTCTTTTTTGAAATGTTACACTTTGCGGATAACAAGTCGATTAATCCACTGTCCTGTAAGAATTAATGACAGTTTATATTTAGGCTAGTTCTTCATATGCCGTAAACTTTATCGTTTATCCATTTGAGGTGAAAATCCAATATTTAGGGGCGTTGGTAACCCATGTGAAATCCTTTTTATTCATATAACACTTTTAAACACGCACTAAAGTTTTCATTTTGTTTTGAAAAAATCGAATTTACTCGTTAGCACTTAACTGCAGTATGGGATAAATACGTTGTCTTATTTTCACGTTTTTATTCTTATCTTGTTCTTCCGCTGCATCATTCTTCCCCTGCTCTTGTTCCTCGTGTCTTTGTTGTCATTTTTACGCTTACTGGTATCGTTATCATCATCGTTGTTATTGTTATTGTTGATGTTATCATAACTATTGTTATTATTATTAGTATTATTGTGGTTATCATTATTATTGTTATTATTATCATCATTATTATTATTATTATCATTGTTTTTGCTGTAATTGTTATCATATTTGTTATCAAAATAATATCGTTTTTTGTTTTTGCTATTACTAACATAATTAATAGTAGTGCTATCAATATTCTTATTCTTTTCTTTCACCTGATATTCTTCCCTCATCTGACTCCCCTCTTTCTTCTTTTGTTCATCTTTCACCGTTTTCTTCCTTTTCGGTGAGGAAGAAGTATGGAGGCGAAACAGGAGTGCATAAGGGAAACCCTTTTATTGCTTTTACCCGTGTGTTAATATTCACTTTTAGCGCCGTGATACACTTTTAACACAGTGGTTCCTGAGCATTTCTATTCTGTGGACATTGATCTATGAATAAAAATGGGAAAGGCTAGATCAGTAGCAACTCGAGGTGGTGTCATGGCGTCTGTTTTGATGATTGTTCAACGAAAATATAACTATTAAAGTCATTATTTTCCATCTTTCTTGAAAATTGAAGAGACCAAAATGATCGACCATATTCACAAAGCATCCGTAACTTTTGTGACGTCATCAAAATAAACCCCATGTGCTTTTTTTTCCAAAAATAGAATCAGACGCCATAACACCTCGAGTGGCTACTGATCTAACATTTCCCATATGATTGTCTCCATGGCCCAGCCCAAGTGTTTGTCATCTTTTCAGATTCAGTTATTACTAGTTATGGATAGTGCAATAGTGTCTAATCTGTAGCATGGGTTCTCAAACTCTTTTAGCTGCGGAAATTATCACAAAGAAGTAGGAAAGAAAGAGAAAAATAAAGTCGTAGTTTTTTTCCTTCTTAGCGATATAAAGAAGGAAAGGAAAAGAAATGCATAGGAAATGTGTTGATTTTTCCTTCTTAACGATATAAAGAAGGAAAAGCGTTAATTTTTCCTTCTTAAAGATTAGTGCAACGAGAAAGAAAGAGGAAAAGGTATAGGATTGCATGAGGAACGCGAGAGGCATTTCTATACCCAAAACAACGTCAATTTTTTTTACGTTTAAAAATCATTGTCATCGTAAATGTTTCAGAACCTAAGCTGTTATCAGCTTTTAACGTAAAGGTTCCGCATGGATTGCACTACTTCACCATAAAACATGATTCTGTTGGAGGTTACTGTAATTCTTCAGACAAAAAATTCTCGATTTTTCATTCTCTCTCTCTCTCTCTCTCTCTCTCTCTCTCTCTCTCTCTCTCTCTCTCTCTCTCTCTATATATATATATATATATATATATATATATTATATATATATATATATATATATATATAACCCTCCCTCCCCCCTCTCTCACTCACTCTCTCTCTCCTCTTTCTCTCTCCCTCTCTTCTCTCTCACTCTCTCTCTCTCTCTCTCTCTCCTCTCTCTCTCTCTTCTCTCTCTCTCTCTCTCTCTCTCTCTCTCTCTCTCTCTCTCTCTCTCTCTCTAAATCTATCCATTTATCTCTTTTATTAAGTATAAATCATTTGTATTGCTATTAAATCAGCTGAGTATATTCTTATGATACACTGTGTTTAATTGTGCGTCTGGTCGAGCTTGTGTTTATCAGTCGAATTCAATAGTGGCTAAGAAAAGCTCATGCACAGCGGCCTCAACATAGCACTCTGCCCTTTAACAGCTCAGGTGTTTGTCGAAGTTTATGCCATTTTTTAGCGGTTTTTAAATTGGTCTTAAGTGTTATTACCAAGATTCTGTTTTTTGTTGTTGTTATTGGGAGGGGATATGCTGTGAATGGAGCATTTGCGAGATTTTAGGATTCTTGGGATATCTTGGAGAATTCCGGATTTCATAAGAATCTCTTTAAGATTTCGGGATATTGTTTCCTTCGGATTTCAAAGTAGGGTGTACAGGATTTCCCATCATTTCTTTTTTTTTGTTTGTCTTCCTTCTATCGTATTTGACTCACCCACGATATTCCAAGAAGTTTTGTTGTGATTGGTGAATCAATTGAGTGAGTTTCGTGTTGTATAAACGAGTGTTGAATGGCCGCAACACACTAGGACAAAAATGGTGCTTATAGACCAAGTGGCAACATAAGATAGATGTTTTAGGTTTGTTGTCCTCAGTAAAGAAGAATAAATAGCTAAAGTAATAATAATAAATAAGACAAATACTGAATATTGTAAGAAAAAAAAATGGTAAAAAAAAAATGGTCAATATATTAAAAACATAACGATAAATATATAAAAGAAATGCTGGTAATAAAAAAAAATAATAATGATTATGATATATAAAATAATAATGGTGATGAAAAAAAAAAAAAGAAACAAAAAAAAAAAAACGCACAATAAGTAAATAAATGAATAAATATGTTTGTAACCGGATTATATCTGATGAGGATTGGGAAAGAGGGAAAAAATGTGATCTTTTGTCTGGTATATGACGTAAATACTGTATAAACATGTTTTCTGATAAATAAGGATAATGATTAAAAGGATTACAATGATTTAAAAGGGATTCTGGTAATAATAACGAAACAATGATATTAGTAGCATAATATGATGGTAATTATAATAAGAAGGATATAATAAGAATGAATAAAAGCACAATCCTCTTGGTACATAGACCGGAAACATCCCACCCCCACCCCACCCCTAAAAAAGTAGAAAAAGAAAAGAAATGACCATCTTTTGTCTGATCTATGACGTCATTACTAAATATGTAATGTTGCCCTTCTGATGTTAAAAGCGAACGTAAAAATACAAAGAATTTTAACTTCCGTGTGAATTCTTACGCTTTATCACCCGTTTTCTTTCATTATAACGCCTTTGCACCCATTTTCTTTAATTCTGACGCTTTTTCATCCGTTTTCTTTCATCCTAACGCTTTTTCATCCGTTTTCTTTAATTCTTTAAATATTTCTGCTACTACTACTACTACAACAATAACAACTACCTCCACCACCACCACTACTACTACTTCTACTGCTACTACTACTACAACAATAACAACTACCTCCACCACCACCACTGCTACTACTTCTACTACTACTACTACCACCATTATTTCTACTACCATCATCATAACCGCCGTTTTTATCATCACTATCATCATTTCAGCTTATAATTCATTGACCAGTATCTCTTTACATTTCAGACCTGAATCCACCTATGATATATAACAGAGTTTACCCAAGGAACAGGAATCACCATGAAGATCGACAAGAATATGATTCCTATGAAGATGCACTATATATTGAGATACGCAGGTAAGACGTTTTCCTAATATGGTGTTTCTTGTTTCAGTACTAAAGTTAAGATGTAGAGATGCTGGTATATCAGCGTGTAATTCTGTAATAATATATATATATATATTTTTTTTTTTTTTTTTTTTTATGTATATTTTTCTACGTGAAGTCAGCACAGAAAAGTATTATATAGTTGTGAAGTTATAAAATATTCGTTCGAAACTCATAAAACAAAACGGAATTGTGACTTGATTATTATAGTAGATGATAAATGGGTTACATTCTATTAATCGCAATTTGAAACACGATAATAAATCCTTTGTATTCTATAATAAGTCGTAATTTGAAACACGTTTGACTTGATATATGTCCCTTCCATGACCAAGTAGATCACTCAGTGCTGGTTATTCAGTGAACCAAGATTTTCGAATATGAAGCATATATGTCTTACTGTATAACCGGTGCTTCGGTTGGGATTCAAAGATTCAAAGATTCAAGCAGAAAGATTGATATAATACTGAAGACCAGATTTTCAGATCGTACACAAAGACACTGAGAAATAAGAATAGAGCAAAATCATCGAATTATTTATAAATAAGTAAACAAATGAATTAATAAATCAATGAAATAGAGAAACGTCAAAAGATTAACTCTCAACCCCTATATATGAACCGTTTCGTTAACCGCGACCCGCATTTTTCCTTCGTTTATCAAAACTTATTTTTCTTTTCTTTCTTTTTTTCCTCCGTCAGGCACTGGTCCTCTCATGCCTTTCCTGACGGTGATCGCTCGACAAAAGGGCTTGGCTAACGAGGTGGTCGGTCTGATCTGGACGGTAATGCCCTTCGCAAGGTGGGTATTAAGGGCATTAGGGGCATAGGGAGGGAGGGAAGAAAGGGGAATGGGGTAAAATAGGTTAAAAAATCATTTAACTTTTTTTTTCCGAAGTATATATAGGGAGGGAGGGAAGAAAAGGGAATGGGGTAAAATAGGTTAAAAAATCATTTAACTATTTTTTTTCGAAGTATATCGATAAAGAGGAAAAATAATAAAGTTGTAGAGAAAGAGGAAAGAAGGAATTGGGTTGGGATAAAC